CTCCTTCTCCTTCTCCTTCTCCTTCTCCTTCTCCTTCTCCTTCTCCTTCTCTTTTTTTTCTCCTCTCTCTCCCTTTTCTTTTCCATTTCCCATCCCCCTCCCTTCTAACAAGACGGATACACTTCTTTCTCAGAACTATGTAAGTGTATGAATTTTTAAAATGCGACGTTTTTTGTTGGTTTCCCTTCTAAAGACTAGCACAGTTACATCTCTGAAAACTCACTCCCTTTGATCTCTTGATGCTGCCTGGCCTGCAAGACAAAGGGCACTTCCAAATGTATGTTTTACATCACTTCAGGATCAGCTTTGGATCCAGCTGTTCTCATGGTATCATTTGCTTTTGGGAACTCATTCATTTCTGAACCCAGTTAATTGAAAACTGCAACCAAAGCTGGTTTTTAGTTCTGTTCGTTCGTTCTTGCTTGCTTGCTTGCTTTCTGAACTGTGCAATCCAAAGGAGGGTTTTGCTACAGTTCTGCAGCCCTTATGAGAAATCTGACTTCCCAGTGGAATTATTCTTGCTTCATATCATCCCATATCCCAGTTCCCAGTTTCAAGTCAGCCATAACTCCGCAGCTGCAGCAATTTCTTCCCCCATAATAGAGATTCAGTATCCTGCTCCTAAAGATTTCCTCTTCACACATTCATTGTTTAGAACAGAGATTCTCAGCCTTTCATTCTTAAACCCCACCTATCATTTTATCAAAGAAGCTTGGCCCAATCATGTTAGAACAAACAAACCACTTAACCCAAGAAAGACTTATAAGTTTACAATCATTTTGTTATTATATGTCTCATTTGTGGGTAAGTTTTAAAGGCTTAATTAAACTGCCAGCGACTAAGCCCATGTCCCACCTAGTCTCCTTCTGACTCCCACTACAGTGCTGCCTCCTACTACATTAGTAGATATTGGGAAAAGCACCCAGCTGCAAAACTGCTGGCATGCCATCATGCCATTTCCGCAAGTTGTAGAGATTTTTCACACAAGAGTGGATTACTGGCATGGCAGCTGGGAAGATTTTTGAGGGATTTCACTGGATTAATTTACTTTTGTAAAAAAAAAAAATGCAACTTACATTTCTCTGCTTAGCTTCTCCTCTCAGATTTGTTTGCAAACCATCAGGGAAAGGTAGGGAATACAATTACAGAAAAAAGTAGAGGAAATGTTGGCTTTTTAAAAAAAAAAATCCTTAATGTTTTGCACTGTTGTTACTGTATGTCTGCTGATAGCACAAGGTAGGATGCTGATTGGATAATGTCCTTTGCACTCTCCTATTGGTCATATGGAGGGACAAGGAGAAGTGCTGATTGGTG